ATTGTTTTTATAAGCATGCTTTTTACCCAGAAACAGTCACTTATCTAACAAAAACATTTTTTTTTCTTCACCTGAACTTTTCTCTAGAACAATTTTGTTTTTCAAATTTTGTCAGCATTTTAGTGATTTTGTAATTTTTCTAATTCTTTGTTAGCATTTTGGTGATTTAATGTTAGTTTATTACTTTTAATACGTTATATGTATTTTAGTGACCATTTCCTTTCCCCTTAGGGGGAGAGTGAGAGTCAATAAAGTTATTATCACAAATATTCCTATTATTTAGGCTAGACAGGTGTATTTTTAAAACTTTACCTGGTGAATATTTAAAACAACAAATCGTAGCATAGGCTTATCTTAACAATCTCTAATATAATGTGTTTCAGATATTGGATAACGTGTCTGATAGCGGCGGACTGATAGTCTGTGCGCTCTGAAACAGTCCAAAAGTCCAATACCGTTTTTTTGGTTACATTTACATGATACACTTGATTCTTGAACTTCTTTGTTACACTATCAGAGCTCGTAAGGGAGACTGCAAAATATTTCAGTTTTAGTGAATATATATATATATATATATATATATATATATATATATATATATATATATATATATATATATATATATATATGCCATGAAAATGTGTATTTCCTACATATCTAGCACTTTGTAAATTAACAGACATGTACTCCAAAACTACCACTTAACACTGCCCTTTTGTCCATGGATTTGCAAGAACGTTGGTGTTCTCGTCTTTGCAAATTTCAGTCTAAGAATAGGGAAAATAATATTTCAAAAGACAAACTGAGTCCCAGAATTTACTTATTGAATATTGGTGTACACATGTGTATCTTGTCACCAATACGAAGTGCAATTGTTCAACAAAATAACATGTATCTACCCAAAAGTACCTACCTGGTATCTGGCCTCCATATAAAAGGTCTGATCAATGCACAGATTAACTAAGTGACGTAAAATAGTACTCTATTAACAAGCATGGAAAATGCATAGCCCCTGTTCTGTATTTAAGATCAAAGTTCATCACGAGCAGTGACCCTGGTGTGTGGGTGTATCTATGACTACCAGTATATGTGTGATGAGGTCAGTCGTTGTTGTAAATCTCCTGTAGTGAGCCGCGCATGTTGAATCACTAACAAATGTAATGTACAATCAAAATCCAGTTGAATCATTGTACAATGTATTGTGTTTGAACGAAATCATGCAAGCCATGTAAAAACAAGTCATTTGAAAATGGCACAGTCCCCGTCCACAATGTCTTTATATGTTCAACAGTAAGACATAACAAAAATCAAAGAAAGCTTAGAAAGAACTCCTGTGTGCTGTGAGAGTATTGGAGAAACATTAAAATTAATTCAAAATTTAAGATTTGCTTATTAAACGAGAAGTTTGGCAACCAATATTTGTCTGCTATTTGAGATACACAACATGAAAGCAATGTGATTCACATTATCACAATTTATAATACAAACAGAATATACATTTGCTTTTTCATCTATGGTTTTTAGTCAAATTAATTGCACAGCAACTCTGTGATGAATTCAATTTAAATCTGGGATAATAATAGGTAATCAATATGCAAGTTTATCAACATTAAACTAATCATGTCTGAGGATTACCTCAATGAACCAAATGAATTATTATACAAATTAAGCAATTTTTATCACGCATAGATTTAGGTCTGTATATTGTTTCAGGGCATGCATGTACAAAGTTTCATTATAATGTGAGGATTAATCCTAACTAAACTAGTGGAAAGCTGAAAAGAAAATTAATATGCAAATTAGGTAATTATTATAGATGTATATAAATAAACCTAAAACTAATTAGATCATCACATTGTGTTATAGTATACATGTACCAAGAATCATCGAATTAAGATATGTACTGTCATAGACCATCTATGTACGAAGTTTCATTGAAATGCGATTAGAACCAATAACTATGAATTATTATGCAAATTAGGTAATTAATATGATCTGATTGTAACCCAACATTGAGCAGGGTTATGCATTGTTCTAGACATCAATGTACCATGTTTCATTGAAATGGAATAATTAGTACATGGAATATCAGTGTAAAAGCTGAAAATTGGCTAATTATGCAAATTATGTAATTAATATGCACTGATTTTATCCAAAACTAATCAGGTCTGTGCATTGTCCTAGAACATCTATGTACCAAGATTCATTGAAATGAGATAATTAGTACTTGCGATATATTAACTAATTATGAAAATTATTTGATTAATATGCACTGATTTTACCCCAAATTAATCAGGTCTTTGGATTGTTCTAGAGCATATATGTACCAAGTTTCATTGAAAAGTAATGATGTAATAGTATTTGAAATATCAAAAGCTGAAAATTTATTAATTATGCAATAATAATATTTCCAATATCTGTCTGTGCATTGTCCTATGTAAGTTTCATTGAAATGTGATTAGTACCTGAGATTATCTATGATATGTGTGATGTATGTGTAAAGTTTCAAGGCAACTGGTCAACCATATGGCCCTGGTACTGCATTTGTTTAAACAAAATGGAGGTCAGTCAGCAATTATGTTACAACGCATATGCATCTCTCAGTATATAGAATATTACTTGGAATCAAATAGCCCAACGTGCATCACCCCATTTATCTCTAAAAAAAATGTGTTATTTAAAAATCTTAGGTATGTTAGACAATATATTGGTGAGGAATCGGCATGAACATGAATCAACAAAATGAACACCTGGTATTAAGTTTGAATGGACAAATGGTTCCAGACAAAATGATCGTCAATTCAAAAGCGTTTATGAAATGACAAAACCTACTATATTACCTCGAATATAGCATTTGTGTGCAAATGTTCAACTAAACAAGTCATTGTCAATGACACGTCCCCGTTCCGTTCATATTTGAGTGACATATACATTCAAAGCAGATCATGACCGAAATGCACCTGCATATGTACAACACATTGTACTAAATCTGAACAAAATCCATGCATGCATGACTGAGATCCGGTTCTGGAATTGTGAAAATACGTGATTTTAATGCATTTTCGGCCTTAAAATGGCCATCATTCAGCTATTGCTAAGCGGATCATGAAACAAATGCACATATCTATTTGTGACATGATGCACCATGTGTGTGTGAAGTTTGAACTTGATCAATCCAGACATGTCTTGGATACGGATCCAGAACTGAATTCTTTAAGAAAATGGCCGCCAGTCGGCCATTTCGAACTTGATCTGAAAAAAAAAATGACGTGCATCAAGGTCCTATTATGTTTAATGTATGTACCAAATTTGAATGAAATCCGTCCATGCATAACTGAGATCTGGGTCCGGAATGGTGAAAATGTGCGATTTCAATGCATTTTCGGCCTTAAAGCGGCCGCCATTTGGCTATCGTTAATGGGATCATGAAACAAATGCACATACATATTTGTGACATGATGTACCTTGTGTGTGTGAAGTTTGAACTTGATCAATCCAGACATGTCTCTGATACGGATCTGAATTCTTTAAAACAAAATGGCCGCCAGTCGGCCATTTCGAACTTGATCCGAAAAAAAAAATGACGTGCATCAAGGTCCTATTATGTTTAATGTATGTACCAAATTTGAACGAAATCCGTCCATGCATAACTGAGATCCGGGTCCGGAATGGTGAAAATGTGCCATTTTGATGCATTTTCGGCCTTAAAATGGCCGCTATTCGGCTATCGTTAATCGGATCATGAAAAAAATGCATGTGCATATGTCCCATATAATGTGTGATGTATGAGTGAAGTTTGAACATAATCGGTCCATGCATGTTCGAGATACAGGTGATCACGGACGGACGCACGCACACAGGGCAAAACATAAGTCCCCGTTTTCGGACTCCGTTCGAACGGGGACTAATAAGGTGATGCCAGACACCAGTTTTTTCAAATTTATTTTAATTGCCTGGTATTAGGAATCATTAAACGAGCTATGAGAACAGCCATGCCTGCAAACAAGATTTCAGTGAAAACAAACTAGTTTTGTATATGGCAGAACACAACTACAGAAACTAATTAGTTTATTGTTGCCACTACCTGCATGGATTTTAATGTGGAAAGAATTGCATTGCTTATACAAAAATAGCAGGTAATGGTGGTGGTCTTCTTGCAGCACACATTTTGCATGTCAGTATGGGACTTATTAAACAATGCAGTGCCCTTTAGGTCAATATTCCATGATGGTCAAAAAATATGGGTTCAACGTCCTATTAATAGATTATTGACCTCATTTTCAACACCCAATTTTAGCTAATATTACAAGGTTCAGCATTAGCAGTCATTGAGTTTTACTATGGTGCATGACCTTTATACCACACATGCATTTCTATTAATAACAAGTCATTCTTAACGACAGTCTCCGAAGGAATTTTGGAAAATGTTATTCATGCCAAAAATAAATACATTTGTGTGCACCAAAGGCATAGTTTGTAATGGAGTGAAGAATTTGCTGGGCAAGTATCAACAAAAATTAGATGTATTCAACGACTCTCCCAAAGATAGCCGACAGTTTATCATGGACATGCATTCGTGTGTAATTTTTGTATCAAATTCTAACCAACAAATTCTGTCCAAGATGCAACATTTTCAAAAATAACAAGATGGATGCCGGGCAGCCATCTTTTATCCGATTGTAAAACAAATTGCCATGGACATGTAATCTAAAATGTACAGTGCATGTACCAAATTTGAATAAATACAAAGCATGCACAAGATACAATTTCAAAACACAAAATGGCTGCCAGTCTGCCATCTTTGCTTGAATCAGTAAACCACTACATGAGTACGTCCCAGATAAAGTATTAGGCACATGCAAAAAGTGAACAGATTTGGTCCACAAGGTTCTGAAATACGATTCCGGATGAATGAACAGAGACCGAACAGTCCCAGTTTTGAATTTTGTTTAAACGAAGACCAACAAAGTAATGTCATGAGGCAACACGAGACAGCAGACTTGCATTGACCAGAAATTAATTTATTCAAAACAATCATACAAACCATGCCGATTGGACATTTACATACAACCTAAATTGGTCTGTGCATTTACACTTAAATAATTAAATACAATCGTGGACAGCAATGCAGATTAATGCGTTTGTACAGGATACCATAGTCTGAAATCATATTTTAAGACCCAAGTACAGTGGATAAACAGTATAAATCAAGCACAAGGTTTATTCAAACCTACAAAACTGTACATTTATGTATTCAAACAATATTCTTAGCTAAGTAAAAATCAGCATGACACACTTGGATCTTGAACTTCTTTGTTAAATAAGCTATCTGAGCTCATAAGCAGGGAGATTTCATGCTTCAAGTGCTTGTGCAAATTGGGGTTGACAAAAATATTTCAGTTTTAGTGAAATTTGTAAAAGCGACCATATGTTTGTACACCAGTACATGCCATAAAAATATTTATTTCCTACATATCTAGCACCTTGTAAATTAACTGGCATGTACTCCAAAACTACTACTACTTTGTACACAACATGTAATATGCTTTCAATGTTATCCAATTACAAGTTTGAGTCAACCTCTAAGAAAGCATACGCATCATCTCTTTCTTCAGTGAGCTCTTTGGCTGTGATGTCCAACTTCTCGCGAGAGAAGGTATCGATATCTAGACCACCAACTACTTGGTAAGAATGGTCAGCTGCAACCTTGCATGGAAAGCTGAATATCAAATCCTTTCCAACACCGTAAGTATTGCCATCAGATATGACACCCATGGATACATATTCACCCTGCAAAACAAAGCAGATGTATGTTCAACACTAAAATAGATATAGCTTTTAATATTACCTGACAATCCTAGATCCTGCACACCCACCAGCCCACCTAATACTATTATGGGTTATTGACAACACATTTAGAATATTCCCTCGGTTTACATTGGACACAGAAGTGCTACAGTGTGCGGTGAATAAACAAATCCTGTCACTGAATGCAAATGTTCACACAGCACAAGTAGCTTTTGGCTGCCATATCATACTAAAATCTATCATTGAATTATTAATACAAATAGGTAAAAGATGTATAATAATTGAGATAACTGTACTATTTTTATTAACATACTATACTTGTAAAATGCATTGTTCAAACAAAATTCAAAAGCACTTAGCATTATGATTTGAGGTCCTCAGTGCTAAACAAGTTCATTTATGTCATGTTGCTATTTCAAATTATTTTCAGCATCTTTCAAAAGTTGTGTTTGTAAAAGTAAGCTGACAACTTCTGTTGCTGATTGGGTTTTCATCTTTGCACTAAATCTCCAAAAGAACATGGAAGATCAGATTTTTAAATGTTGGTGCTTTATAAAATGAATAACAGTCGAACAAACCTCTTTTGTACCGGCCCACCAATCTTTCATGTGGTCCACAATACCCTTTGCAGCAGACATGGCACTGGAAAGTTTACGAGCAGCAATCACTGCAGCACCACGCTTCTGTACAGTCTGTAAGTTAATAACTATTAATGTCAATGGATGTAGAAATAGGTGAAGAGAAAAAACGTCCCAACAAACAATTGTTACAGCCTTCATTTAAGATAGAGACACAAGCCTTTAAATGACAAATTGAGTCGAAAGAACTCCAGACAAGGAACATGTCATGAATCCACAATTTTTCCCACTTACTATAATCAAGACTATAACAAAATATATAAATATTTTTTCCATCTTTATTTGTTGATTATCTCTCCACACATTTATACACGCAGTTTATATAGATATAATTAGCAAAATCGATACAAGTGAAGATTAGCCCAATTGTTTGTAGAGACAAATATAATAAAATATTTTTTCTATCAGTAATCAGGCTTGTTATTAACCTTCTACCCGTTTCAGATCTATATTGTTACAGTGAAAACAAAGGAAAAGCAAACAAAGCCTATACAATTTGTACCTCTGACAGGTTTATTCAATCCAAAACTTTTTTTTATACAGCAATTCTGACAAGCTGAAAATACTTAGTGTTATAGTTAGTCATTTACTCAGCATGAACATTTTTTTTTCAAAATATTTTTTCTCTGTTATACATGGGGAGATGGGGGTAAAGACAATCAAAGAACGCTAAGAAAAAAAACTCCCAGCTGAGAAAATTGGAAGCATAGAAAGTAAAAATGGAAGATTTCAGTGGAAAAATCTGAAAATTGGCTAAATACTGTAAAATACTTTATTTTAGCTGTAATTAATTTTCGCTGAAAAAACTTCGAGTATTTTGTGTGTTCACTGATTTTTGAAGATTTGAATGTATATAGAAAAAACAGTATATTCGCTGGATTTTATTTTCACTGAATCATTCCTTCAGCGAAAATAAATTCCAAGCAAAAATAAATTCCAAGCGAAAATAAAGTATTTAAAAGTATGCAAATTAGGTTAAGCAGTGAGCATGATTTTAATCCAAAATCAATCATGTTGATGGTTCCCAGGTAGCTATGTACTAAGTTTTCATAGAATTGAAATGAGAGGATTAGTTCTTGATAAATCGGAAAAATAGTTTATTATGCAATTTAGGTAATTAGTATGCACAGATTATAACCTAAATTAATCAGGTCTTGGCATCATCCCAGAGCATCTAAGTACCAAGATTTATTGATATGTGATGATTAAAGATATTGGATCTTATCATGCAACTCAGGTGATTGATATCCATGAATTTTAACCAAAAACTAATCAGGCATGTGCATTGTCCCAGTAAAAATTCCTATTGTGTGCCTCGCACATAGTAAAAAATGTCTACCTACTGTTATAAAGTCTCCTTTCAGCCAAGCATCATCTTTGACAGCATCATAAACTGGTAAATCCTTTCCATCTTTGCTTACAACAGCATGACGTACATCAGGGAATTGAGTGGACGAGTGGTTACCCCAGATGATAACATTACGAACAGAATTACAAGGAACAGCACAGCGTGCAGCAATCTGTTTTGGTGAAAATAAATTATTAATATAAACTATTTTTTGCAGTAGGCATAACACATTAGTATGTTTTGGCTTTGAATAAACCAATGATGCCAGATTAAAAGGTTACAATGAAAATTTAAATATATACATGTTAAATGTAGCTTATTTGAAGGTGATAGGAATGTGATTTCAGTACCTGCGCTTGAGCTCTGTTTTGATCCAGTCTTGTCATTGCGGTGAAGTTTTCTTTTGGAATTGATGGTGCAAACTTTTTTGTGATCAATGCATTTGTATTAGCTGGATTTCCAACAACCAGAACCTGAAAGATTAATATACGAGTGGTTCAACCAACATACATTAGTTCAATCCAGAATTTTAACTACTAGTTTCTGCTGTTAGAAGTACACATAAAAGATAAAAACATTCTGAAGTAGTTCACTTTATTCCACAAAACTAATTCTAAAATCTGCCAAAAAATGCCAAAAAGGGAATAATATCAAGTACCTACAATTCTGAAACATATTTTAAGATTTTATTGTTGAAATGTTCAGTAAAACTTTTTCCAAAATTATTTGCCATTCTTACAATTTTTCTACTTGCCTTTGTACCAAATTTTACTGCGTTATAAAGTTAGATCGACACAGACTAAATCCAAGAAAAATTTTTAAAACATTTGAAAATGGTTTTGTAGAATTTGATAAAGTTTCTGAAAGTATAATCTGTCACCATGATTGCAGGAGAAGAACATATCCTAAATTCAGATAAATTGATAAACAGATTATCATCTGGTACTGACCTTCACATTCTTTTTGGCAACTTTATCAAGAGCTTTGCCTTGCACCATGAAGATTTTCACATTAGCCTTGAGCAAGTCTTTTCTCTCCATGCCTTCTCTGCGCGGCATAGCTCCTACCAGGATTGCTGCATCAACATTTGCAAAAGCTACCTCGGGATCATCTGTAGGAATTACATTGCTGAGCAATGGTAGGGCACAGTCCATTAGTTCCATTACAACCCCATTCAAAACTCCCATCATTGGAGCAATATCCAATAACGTCATCACCACTGGCTGAAAAATTAAAAATAGTAAAGGCTTAGAAAGTAAACAAAACAGCCCCACCAAACAGGCAAAAAAAAAATTTTTTAATTAGAATATTAGACCCGAGTTAATTTTCTAATCAAAATCATGGTATTTCAAGCAGGGCAGCGACTCAAGATTGGCATGATGATGCACCATATATGGCCAATAGTACCCAAGACCCTACCAACGCTCAAAAAACCAAGCTCCATACAATACCAACAGCAAGTGTATCCAGAGGGGCAAGACAAAACAATGGTACACTCAAGTACTGCAGAAAAACATGATTGAATTACATTGGGGGTGCTGAACTATTCAGATTAGGAGTCAGGAGGCCTTGAACTCTTTCCACATCAATTCTCCATGTCACAAAACGTACTATGCTGCAAAGATGCGTACCACTGTACCATGCATTTCTACGGGGTTTGTGCCACCTGCTGTCTAAGAGCCGGTGAAAATAATGAAGTTGAGAAAACAGCATATTTTTAAGTAATCCTGAGCAGCCAAATTTATATATATTGCATATTCAGGAGATTCTCAACAACTACCTAAAAGTACAGTTTTCTGAGTTTTTGGCATTTGATGTTTGATTTGACTGTGATGGTTGCCAGGTGGTGAAAATGTGTGGATGTCTGTCCCTAAGAATATCCCTAAATACCAGGATGTGTGACCTGCAAGGGTTAGGTCGGTAAATAATTCTGAGTCATTATGGATTACATACCTGTGTTGGACCAAATACTTCACCTCTTGCAATAGAATACAGAAGGGAATATGCAATCTGCCCAGCAGCCCCAGTAACAGCAACACGAATTGGTTCAGACTTAGAAAAAAATAAAAATAATTCAATAAGTACAATAACAAAAATTGGACACATTTTATTCACAAAACAGTTTATTTATATTCTGAGAAAACAAAAGAACATTTAAATATCAAGGAAATGCTGAAGGAAGTCTATTCATACTAAATTAAAACAAGCATTGACAATGCACAGTGCCATCTGTATTCAATGCCAAATTCCATCACTACATGTACCAGAAATCCAGGAGTGTAAATTACACAAATTTGATCAAATCATGAAATAACTACGAGTAGTAATTGTGTGCAAACTTTGAACTGAATCCGGCACTGTACTGTGAAGAATATGAATAAAAACAAAATATCAGTCAATGGGTCCCATATGATGCACACAGAATGAATATTTTGCTTAATTGTTTTTTTGAACACGTGTTCCACGAGAACCACCATATTTTAATTTCTGCATACAAAGTAAATTTGTTCCTTTCACATAATTTCACTGTAAAATCAGTGTAATAAATGTATGAATGAACATTTGTTTGAAGTAAAAATGACAATTAAATTAGCAACATCTACATTCTTCAATAGAGTTCCTCAACCAACCACCCACAACTCTAATTCTCACCCTGCTCCTTCAGTGATCCCTGGTCCTTCAGGACACAATTATTAGCAGGGGCATATGCTTATACATTGGAAGGGGGCCTGGAGTGTTTAGGGTTAGGGATTAGGTTGGGGCCTTGAGAAATTCTTTCCCATTCTTCACAAAATTAGCAGGAGCATCAGATGATTGATTGAAGCATCATGATTCTCCAAAAAATTCCTTTGGAATTTAGCTTGGTACCCAGGCTACAGATGTCTGAGGTCAAACGCTGATCTTTTTCTTTCACTACGAATTTCAACGAATAAGAAGCTCAAACGCATTGAAAAATAAATATTGTGTGCAATCCCTATGATACCAACATTTGTCTTTCTTTATGTCTCAACCAAATACAAGATATTTTTTGCCGGGTAATCATTATTAGCATGAACTAAGGCCAATGGCCGACGGTGACATTTGCACATGATGAATGTCAATGAAGCTGGCTTGATAAACTGCGAACAATGGCATAATACGAATAAAATGTGGTAGAGAAAGACCGCTACATGAGAAAAGTATCTACAACAATTAATCGTCGAAGACTCTTACCATTTTGACACTTCTAAAACTTCAAAACCACGGACTGGAATGGACTACGTGCTTTCAATTATTCGGCTGGCAAAAGACCGCATCACTTAACTTATGTAATACAAGTTAATGCGCATTTTTATTATAAATTTTTTTTGGGAAGAAGATAAATTGGCGCCAGTTGTACATTTACAAGAACAGAAACATATTTAATATCAAATATTTTCAAATTGTTGCTATTTTTTTAAAATTTAAACCTTGAACTATATTCTCAGGGCGCAATGATTTGAACTACTTGCCCATTCTATCGTCTGGTGACATGACCTCGCGTACGTACATGTGTGACCTGTATTTCCCGTGGTTGGCTGCTCAAAACTAAACAAAACCAGACCATTATTCTTTTCCATCTGTATCAAGGGTTATGTCGGAAACCGAAACAGACGGCTACAGCAGAGAAAAGGTATATATCTTTGCTCTATGATATTGAAATCGAAACAAATCGCACACATGAGAACATGAAATGTAGTTCCCACCAGCTTAATAAAGTTACGGTTTTAATTGTCTCATATTAATAATAACGATGATATATTTATCATCTTCGCGTAAGTTATGTTTACATCAGATAGGCAACAACAAATGTGGGAAAGAGTTTCTTTCCCCACCCCTAACCTTAACTTAATCCTATCTTCCAGCGCTGCACAATTTAATTGTATATGCCCCATTGTCCCCCCTATAGTTAATCCATTGAATTGGAGGGCTTATTTATTCATGTTAAAAGGCAGTGGTCATGGCGCCACCCATGTGTAAAATAATGGTCTTATATAAACTACTAATATACATCTGAAACCATAACGCCATAAGTTAGTATAGCGCATGCTGTAATTTTGCGGTATTTCATCCTACCATACAAGGAAATGCGAAGTCTGAATATGGAATGATTACGTGCGTAAGTGTGGCTGCCACAAGGGTTTGACTGAACTCTACACAAAGAAGTTTGCTGATTCTGTTCTAAACTTTTTGAATTTTTGCATTCCCATGATGTATCCTTGGAAGGAAAAGATGTATAATAATAAGGTTATTACGAGAATACCTCAAAGTATGCACTCAAGACAGTACACCGTTGCATCAACCT